AACGATGCGTTAGTTCCAACAGGTAATCAAGGCGCAAATGGGAGCTGATGTTTTACTTTCCCACGAGAAAGAAAAATGGAAAAACTCTTAAATGCATTAAAGAACGAACGAAGACCATCGGAGCGCATTGGCAACTTTAACTTATGTTGTTTTTGTAAATTTTTGGAACATATTTTCAATGTAAAGTTTCAAACTAGCGTTTTCACCAAAGCAACCCCCCTCATACACCCACCACTAAACACCTTGAAATCCTTTTGAAATGCAGACAGCGACCACGCGTGGAAAACAAATGGGCCCTTAAAAGGCGCCTGGTGTTAGACTGCAGGCTGATTACCATGGAAACAAAGACCTGCATGCGCGTTGGAGGTTAGTGTCACCACTGACCTTTGCCAAGGCTGAAAATAATAATACTGATTTAAAAAAGAGGTTAAACTGAAAAAAAAAGAATGCAAATGTTTTTGGCATTTACTTACGGAAGAGGATTTACGGAAGAGCATTAGGGCCACTGGAAAAAAAATATATAAGTTAACTGATTTTTACATTTTATTTCAGTTTAGTATGGGGAAAAAAAAGTCAAAATTCTGACTTTTTTTCTCAGAATTCTGACTTTTTCCTCAGAATTCTGACTTTAATCTCAGAATTCTGACTTTTTTCTCAAAATTCTGACTTTTTTCTCAGAATTCTGACTTTTTTCTCAGATTTCTGACATTTTTTTTCAGAATTCTGACTTTTTTCTCAAAATTCTGACTTTTTTCTCAGATTTCTGACATTTTTTTTCAGAATTCTGACTTTTTTCTCAGATTTCTGACTTTTTTTTTCAGAATTCTGACTTTTTTCTCAAAATTCTGACTTTTTGCTCTGAATTCTGACAATAAAAAAGTCAGAATTCTGAGAAAAGTCAGAATTCTGACTTTTTTCCCATACTAAACAGAAATAAAACTTAAAAATCAGTTAACTTTTTTTTCAGTGGCCCTAATCCTCTTCCGTATTTACCTAATCATATATAGTTACTTTAAGACAATTGTTTTATGTCATACCCTGCTATGAAACAATTGTGTTAAAGTAACTAGATTCCATCTTAGGCAGGTCCTGAATGTTGTGGAGTGATCATATAGTTTTGGCAGTGACGGGTTGGGTGATGGGGAAGGGGTTATTTTGTTTGTTTTATTGTATTATATCTTTGTGCTTCACTACTTGACTTGTTCTATTGTAGTTGTAATGCTACTTTCTCTATTTGTGAAGCTTATGTTTCTTTTACTTTAACAAACTTTTGTATGAGCAACTTGTTTAATTGACTTCTATAAGCCTACCTTGCAACATCTTATAACTGTGCTCCGCTTTTTGTTTATGTAAAACTCAATAAAAAATATCTTGAGTAAAAAAAGTAACTAGATTTGGTTAAGTAAATGCCAAAAAGTTTGTATTATTTTTTTCAGTGTAATAGCGGGGATAGAAAGAGAGTCAGCAGCAACACAGAGAACACTGATAAGGAAAAGGCAAGCTTATTTGTAGCACCTTTAAGTATATGAATAATTCAAAGTGATTTACATGAATTAGATACGTAGAAAAATACAAGCAAAATAAAATGTTCAGTTCACAAAATTAAAGCCTTAAAGTGAAGTCATCTCATTTGAATATGAAGAACATTTTTATAATCATTTTCAAACTTATTTTCTGATCAAATATCTATGGAAATCAATATCATATTAATGACTCGGTTATCTCATTATGATGAAACGCGATCTCATAACTGTAATTTATTAACTCAATATAATAAATTATTACATCATTATAAGATATTTAAGTTTTGGAGTTTTTTTTCATCAGAGTGGTGGAAATGTGCTTCTATATGTAAACAGAATAACAGGTTGGTTTAAAATAAGATTTTATAAACATTACTAATTCAATTTCTGGGATTATAGTCTCTTTAAATTAATGTACACTTTTTAAACTGAACAAATCAGTTTAAGTATTTATTCCCATTCAACCTTTTCAATAATAATCAAATAACAACATTATTGGATATTATAGTATTTTTATGCGATTATCCACTGAGAAGACAAATCATTTGGAATTTCTAATTTTCATTTTTTATAAATAAAATCTGAAAAGTGTGGCTTGCTTTTTCATAACTCTAAATCAAAAATAAGTACAATCTGAGGTAAAACATGGAGTTCATTATTTAGTTTTAACTGTATTAGCAGAAATGTTTAATCTCAAGGGTAAAATGTGACCATCACAGGACATAGAGGGAAAACTGAATGGAAGGAAAAAGTTTGGAAGCTTTATTTACAATCAGCTGTGAAGGTATCAGTGGCTTATTTGGAAAACCGAAGTGAGCAAACCGAATCCTGAAGATAGAGGAGGGGATAAAAATTATCTTTTAAATTAACCTTTTACTTCCCTGCACCACTTTTAATTTGCAACAAGAAACCACACTTTATCAATTTGAATTCATATTTATTTCAAAGGAGCTTTACACGGATCTTTATCGGACCTGAAGACTTGATAATCGCCCCTAATGTTAAAAAACTTTATGTAGCCTTGATAAGAGTGTTTTCAAGGCTTCATTTACTATTAAAATAGTTGTCAATCTTGTTCAAATAAAATCTGGAACCTCACAGTTACACTGGAAAAAATCTAAATCTAGATAAGTCATTTTTCTTAAAATAAGTGCATTTGCTCTTGGATTAAGGTAGTAAAAGAGACAATGTGCCAATGGAATAAGACAATTTACACTTAAAATAAGAAAACACAATAGCATTGTTTAATTTCAAGTGCATATTATCTAATTATCTTATTTTAAGAGTAAAAATACTCATTCCATTGGCAAATCATCTCATTAACCACTTAATTTGAGACAATTTTACTTATTTCTAGATCGCTTTTCCAGTGTAGCTGTAATCATTTAAAACTTAATATCCCCAAAACAACACTGTGACTCGTGAAAATGTTGAGTGGTTATAATCACTGTTCTAAGAGGCTGGTGAGCAAAAAAGTCCAAGTCAAGGTCTGGAAATAACCAACTATTTACTGGACCAACTATTTTGTTTTTTCACACAGATTTATTCCAATGCTTTATACCTTAATAAGAAAAAAAATAAAAAATATAATTAAATAAGTCTTAATTGCATTTAACTGTGTATATTTCTCTTTTCGTTTTGATTATTAACAATATGTGACAAATAGAACAAAAATCTGAAAAAACAACTTTAAGATTTGGGGCAAACAAAGTACTGTTTGGTTTTTCGTGACATTTTTAACCATAAAAAAAAATATCTGTAAAAGCACAGCAGCATGTGTCTGTGTCCAACCTCCACACTGCAAAAAATTCAAATCTCAATAAGTGATTTTTTTTCTTAAAATAAATGCATTTTTTTCTTGAACTACGGAGGTAAGTGAGACACTTTGCCAATGGAACAAGACAATCTAAATTTAAAATAAGAAAAAACAATTATATTGCCATATTACAAGTGTATATTATCTAATTATCTTATTTTAAGAGTAAAAATACTCATTCCATTGGCAAATCGTCTATTTTACCTGCCCAAATTAAGGGTAAATACACTTAATTTGATCCATTTTTACTCATTTTTAGATCGTTTTTGCAGTGCATGACTCAACACTTTATAAAAAATTAAAGCTTCTCATGTTTTCTATCCCTATCAAAGACATCAATCAATTATCACTATTCTTATTTAAGATTAAACAGCCTCATCTCCAAATTAGGCTGGGCTGATTTCTGCAGCGACACTTTATTCAAATACAGGAAACTATTTGCAGCAATAATTAATATTTCCTTACATTTGCTTTCCTCACTGGAAAAAATCAAAATCTAGATAAGTCATTTTTTTCTTAAAATAAGTGCATTTGCTCTTGGATTAAGGTAGTAAAAGAGACAATGTGCCAATGGAATAAGACAATTTACACTTAAAATAAGAAAACACAATAGCATTGTTTAATTTCAAGTGCATATTATTTAATTATCTTATTTTCAGAGTAAAAATACTCATTCCATCGGCAAACTATCTCATTTACCTACTTAAATTAAGGGCAAATACACTTAATTTAAGACATTTTTACTTATTTCCGGATCGTTTTTCCAGTGTCTATTTTTCTCCTAGTTTTCTAATCCTAAAAAGACGGAGGGGATGTTTATTGCCGTCAAACGGACGGCTGCTACCCAGCTTTTTTATTGTACAGTTTTCACACCTGGATGTTTTTCAATGAGCAGGAAATCCTCCTTCACACCCTTGCGGACAAAAGGTCACGTTGGAGGAAGAAAAAAAAAAAATCCTTAACAGTTCTTTTCAGTTTAACAAACATTTTATTGCTTTCTTTATATATATATAAAACAGAATAACGCTCACCATAGGGAGACAAGCAGAATAAATTAGTGTGCAAAACAGACAAGATAAAATGTGAATATCTGTGGGAAGGGATGCGAGTTATTTTGAGCCACAGATGTCGCTTGTGCCGGCAGATATGACAGCACTTAGATGGAAAACAGAAGGCTCTCTCTCTCTCCCAAACTCAAATCTCCAGGTTCCACACCTGGAAATGTGACGGATGGACACTGGATCATTATCCACATTAGGGCGACTGATTTAAAATCACACAGGCTACTTTTTCTAATGACACTGTTAGAGAGGAAAAGCTCCGGGATACTCACCTCTTCACTTGCTCTTCAGCACAGCAGCAACGCCAGGCAGGCTGCCTGGAGGATCCAGATCAGGACCTGGTCTAGGAGAGTCCCTGCCAGAGGACAACATGGCCGCCACACTAACTGAGGTACAGCAAGAGTGAGTCAACCTTATCAAAAATACTACAGCACAGATACAAATCATGACTTCTTTTTTTTTTTTTACATTATTTACAGGATTTCATGTTTGATCTTACAGACGTAAAAGGATTGGAAAATTCTTTGCAACATGGAAATGGAACCAGTTTAAATGGAAGGGTGGTTAGGTGTGGAAAGTTCTAAAGGCGCTGCCCACTGATCATGGCCAGGGTCTCCATAAAGTCTGGCTCAGGGTCCCGCTCTGGGATGACCCCTCTTTGCCCCCCGGTCTATCCGCTCCCATCTCCAGCCCGCCTCCACTCTGAGGCTGCTGAGGAAATCCAAGAAAACTCTGCTGGTCTGAGAAAGTGTGATGATGAGCTGAGCTGCTGGCTCCAGAGGCCTGTGTGGGCTGATTGGACCTGGACCTCAGCCTTAGCATCTGGAGGAGGGACTTGGTGTGGGTCATGGAGACGGAGGTTCTGACCCAGGTGTCTGCAGAAGGGCTGTCTGAGAGCGGGAAGCGAGAGGAAAAGGTGGCGTCCAGGACCGGTCCGAGCCACAGGCCTTTCCCTTCAGGCCCGAGGAAGTGAGACGCCCTCTGCAGGCAGCTGGAGAAGCCGTCCTGGAAGGAGTATTTCTGGCCTCCGTTTTTTTCTTTGTGTTCTCTGGCATTTCTTTGCAAGAAGAGAACCGTATGCTCCAGAATCTCAGCCTTTTCCGCTCTGTGCTGCGTCCCACCCTGCAGTAATGACAATTAAAACGATTTTATAACATCCAAAAAAAAAAAAAAAAAAAACAGAATCCTAATTGTTCTGCACCCAGAAACCAAACATGTTTGCAGTTTGAAACTGGATGCATAGATTAGTTGTATTTACTTGTTGAGGCTCCTGGAGCAACATGGTCCTCAGACGCTCCAGACTGCGGTTCATTCTCTCCCTGCGACGTTTTTCCACCTGAGATTTTATCAGCTGGAAGCAAAAAGAAAGAAGTTGGTTATTGCATTGCATCTGGGTTTTTTTGCACATTGAGATCTGAATAAAAGTAATAAATGTAAAGTTTGTGTTAAATTCTCAGCAGTACCTTTTTTTTGCTTGTTGCATCGTCAGTTTCTTGCTGCAGCTTCATTATCCTGGACTTCCCAAAGTTCTGTTCCAATCCAGGAAAAGCTGCTTCCTTCCCAGTCTGTGACTGATAAGGTACTGAAGCTCAGGCCTCTTGTTTCTGCATTTATCACCTCCATGCTGGCCCCTCCCATCGGAGACCTCCTCCTTGTACCCCAGCTGATTTTTACAGCCAGTTCTCCCTCCCCCAACACTTACCAACCTCTCACCAAAGTCTTTCAGTATCCCAGAACAACTGAAACTTTTGTTTTATGATAAAACTAAATGGGAAAAAGTGTAATTCAGAATAAAAACAAAATTTAAACAAAATTATTTGTATTTGATTTCTCTCTTCTTTCCACCTCTTCATTCTACATCATCATTCCTGCACCTCAGCCTGATCAAAAACAGCTTTCATGACTAAAACATTCAAAGTTAAATTACTATCAAAGTGTCTAATAAAAAAAAGTGAAAAGGAGGCAAAATCTGTACAAATCAATGATAATTAGACTTAGAAAAACATTATATGGTTGCTTATTTTGTAATATACCATTGAATATGAAGCACATTGGCATTAATTTACCACAAAATGTAAAAGTTTGTTTGTTAGAGGTTAGATTAGATCTGATCCTATATTATTAGCTTTCATTGAAACCTCCTTAAATGAGCAGTCAACCATTAAATCAAAGCTCAGGATGCTCAACATGGATCTATGTCTGGTAATAAAATAAATAAAAAAGATCCCATTCCAGGCTCCAGGTTTTGATATCCTAATCGTTCTTATATATTGATAGTTCAAAAATACTTCATTCAATAAAATTAAATGCAACAAAAAGTATTTAAGCAGAGTAATTTAAAAGGAAAAGACCGGTTCGTTTCAATAATTTTTACGGTTTCCATTTCTGTTGAATGTTTGTAATCCACACAATAACAAATCTCTCAGAAACCAAAGGATGTTTTTACTTTTAAAGCTACAGTGTGTAATTTTCAGCGACATCTAACGTCCAGACTGCAGACCGCAGCA